AAAGGGGCACTTTTGCTAGCCTGATTAGAAAACAAACTATTGTCCCCCTCAGGACAATTCCAGATCACCCAGACAGCATCTTGTACCTCCAGCAACCTTATTTACTGTATCTCTTGCAGAAAATGCCCACACCTGAAGAAGGCTCCACGGCCGAAACATTGTGTTCTCTTTCTTCTTTTTTTCAGCACTTGTTCCTAGAAAACAAACTGTCAGCTTAGATGCAGACCATAATACAGAAGAATGTATGTTAGTCATGCAGGAGAAGTATTGCTAACAGAACATTATGGGTGGTAAAGTAAATGTGTTCTGTAATGCCCGGTGAGATGGTGTGGATTTGAAAGAGGGGTCTGTTTATACTGTATCTCTGTTTATTAAAACATAGAAGGGGTAAAGAAAAAGAATGCTTGGAATAATTCACAATAGCAAAGCAGTTCCCCAAGGGGTCTCCCAGTCACTGGAAAGGAATTGTCCGAAAGGATTAAGGCTCATCCCATGGCTCTGTCTTCCTGAAAACTGAAACGCTAAAAACAGAAAGAGAACTGTAGACTAAACAGCCAGAGAGTTACTGCACACAGACCTGGGGCTGTGTGTAATAGACACTGGCCATGAAAATGTGTTGGCTATGTTAGCAAAGATGATTGGAGCTGCATGATATGGTGTTATGAAAATTGGTTTCCAGGCCGCCATATCTGCTGTGTTTGTCTGAAGTGCTCTGACCCGGAAATTCCTCAGTGCCTGTGAATAATCTCATTTTTTGCAGCCATCCCTAGAGGCTGACAGGGTTAAATGAAACCAGAAAAAAAAGACATTTTATTCCCCCATGCCGCTGCAATGGTCTCTTTAAGCAGCTAGTCACACAGTTCTAAAGGAGACCTTGGGCAGTTTCTTGATCCCTCACGATAACATCTGTCTGTTTTATATCTCCTTCTGTTTCAAGGACTATTTGCAAAGCTTTTATTGTTTGCAGCTTGTCTTTTCGAGATCGCAGAACTGATCAGTGCAGCTTTTAAGATTTAAAGACAGACTTTCTCAGTTGCTTCTTAGACATACTTACCAGCTTCTTCTTTTGAAACACAGTGTCGAATTATGACATATGATTTGCCGCTGCTGATAAAAGTTTGATCTGAGTCTGCAAAAGACGGGCTAGGTTCTGGCCAGGGCTGTGCCAGTGCAGGACTTGTCAGCGCCTGCCTGGCTGTGGCACTCCAGCCCAGTTTCACAGTTCTTGTGTTTGCCGTGCAGGATTATAGTTGACGGCAAAATGAGGCAATAGTTATGGAGGCTATGGGATACTTCCAGTCCTAAACACTGGAGGAGAAGAGGTCCAGAAACAAAGGATTTACTAGGTAAAAGGGGGAAGTGCTTAGGTTTTCAGCTGCACAGAGACCTGGGGCTGCCACTGAGAAATGTCTGAAAAGCCTTGAGGGGGGATTTCCTCTGAAAGGGAAAGCAGTTCTCCTCCCCCGCACCAGTTCTCCACTCTCGTTCTCTCTCTCACTTACTTACACTCTCGCCCTGGCCCTCTCCGACTATGGTCACATCCTGCACAGTGCAGAAGGAAGGAGGTAGCAGCCGATCCAGCTGCTCCGGGCTCTGCCTGACTGCTGTAGGGTTTGGAGATCAGAGGACATGGGACTTGCCCCTGGCAGCCTGCAGCGTCCAGCCGTGACTTACTGTTGGGGATTCCTACACCCACCACCTTCTCGGGCACATTTTGATCAGCGTGGACCCAAGGCTGAACTATCCCCGGGGGCTGACAGCCAGCAAAATTCTTTTGGGCAGGATTACATAAAGAAAGATGACCAAACCTAACAGGATAGCCAAGGCACCTTAGGAAAGATGGTAACTGACTTTTTTTATTTATATCTTTAAAGGAAAAAGAAAACTGCAGATGTTTTCTTTTATGAGCACTGGGACATATAGCTTAAAATTTCAATATGCCCTTTAGCTATTCATTCAGGTAGGTTTTTGCTAAACCATTTTTTTTTCTTTGTTTCGAAAGAATTCCTGAACTGCTATTGAATGGAGCTCTCAGTGCTTTCCAAGTGTGTTTGCTTTTCTGGCTGTCACTAGGAGCTGGGGATGACTGAATTGCTGGGGAACTGCTGAATCAAGCAGTTTTAAAGCTTAGTTGGTCTGTCGCAGTTTTATTACTATAATTAAAATTATTGCCACTGACTGTTTCGTTTTAAATGTAAGATCTCCCGCTGATCTTCTTTCTGTTTTTCACTACGCTCACTGTATTTACAACTGGTTTGTCATGCACCTTGTTTATGAGCCCTGTCTCGTGTTTTGTCTTACTGTAGTCTCTAGTTTGAATAGAGCACTTTTTCGCATGTTTAGCACAGTGATGTTGGATGGACATGCTCGTCTTCTTCTTGATATACAGTATATGCTCTGTCTGTTCCAACACTTTTGTTCTGTGCAAAAGAAAAGATCTGCATTTTGGCTTTGTCTGAGGAGTCTATTTGTTAACTTCCTGAAACGATTTTGCAGAATAGGCATGTGGACTTTATCAAAAGATTGCTACTCTTTCAAAAGTACTTTACTTATGTCTGGACATGTCTGCATGAAAGTATTAATTAATTTATTCTTCTTTTCAACTTTTTTCACCCAATTTAAAGAAGAACACCTTCCATAATCCCTTTAAATTAATTACATTCTACTCCTGTTACAGTTGATTAATCAGGCCAGTACGGATAGAGTTACACTCTGATGCTGATGAAAAGGTTTTCACATATCACATTATATTTCCTCTCTGAACTGTAGATGAGGGAGGTGGACAGTTTTTCAGATAACAAGCCATGGCACCTCAATTTGGCAGGAAATACTTGTTTTGCTTTGCTTAATTGCACACTGTAGAGACACTAAGATGCTGTGAGACTCCTGCAATGAAACACTAGGAACACCAGGAGATATGAGTTGAACAGCAGCAATAATGGAAGATGCACCTAAAGAGAGAATTGCATAAGTACAGTTAGTCTTCTGGTCTGGACAGGTCCTGGTACAAACAACTTTAGAGTATTAAGATAGAATAATTAGAACCTAGCTGTGATAAGTCACCATTTGCAAAGGGGTGGTATATTAAGTTTATAACATGTTTTTCTTTCCTTTTTAATGACAGCTTGCTGGAACATTACTTAAAATAGGTGAACTCTACAAGTTGAGTGGTTGTTTCACATAATAATTCTGAATGAAGGAAAATGCAAAAGTCAATAATCATTCAGTTCACCTAATGTCCAAGTCAAGAATATTTCCCTCTTCTGGTTTCTCCTCTCCTAATGCTAGGAAAATATGCAAAGTGGTTGTCATGTTTCAGAATGGAAATTTTACGTTGTAGCTTGAGGTGAGTTTTTCTCGTTTGTCCCAGTATTCATCTTGCAGTTACCAAATCTGTACACGATCATTTCCAAGTGAATATTTGAGAATATATGTTATAAAAGTGGTAGTTATTAAATATCAACCTGACTGTTGCCCTTATGTACTGTAAGTGTAGTTATCTTATCTGTGGCAGTTGCTAGATTAACTGCCTTGGCAGAGGGCAGTCAGGCTTTTGAAATCCTGAGACATAAACTGCTTATCTTTACTTTATCTGGAATTTGTTACTGTTGTATAAAAAGTGTTGCCTACTATCAGACTTGCTATTGTGCTTGCAAAGATGAAGGAGACCTTTTATAGGCCATTTACAGAATTTACGCACCATGCTGGAAGATACCGTATTTTGGTTACAAGCAACCTGAATCAAGTTCTACAAAGTAACTGTGATCTTGCCCTGCAGGGCATTGCAGTGAACTATTAGGCATCAGGACTTCAAGACTTTCAAAATGAAAGGAAAGACTAGTAGAGACACTGTGGAACCATGCTTATTTTTAATTCCACAAATTGGATTTCTTTTGGTAGGAGTAGTCCTTCACATTCCATTATTTTTCAGATTGATGGGAAGAACCCCACATATAGTATAAACAGGGACAGAGGTAGAAAAGGAAAATATCTTTGTGGATAAGCTAAAATGATTCTCTGTAGACAAACCATACAGTTGAAATTTGTAACCTTTAATCTTTATATTTTATAGTTATATTAACCTATCCACTAAGGGCCTATATTTTTCTCAATAATAATAATAACAACAATAATAATAATAATAATAATAATAATAATAATAATAATTGCTTACAATTATATAGCACTTTTCTGGACACTCCACTCAAAGC